TCTACTAAGTCCCGGCGCCGTAGGTGCACATCAATGACAACTTCGCCAAGTTCTCAGAGGCACTCTTCGTTGCCGACCGACATGCACGTGAAGAGGTCAGGCAACGTGCCCTCATGCAGCAGAAGCTCGCGGAGAAGGAGAAGGCGCAGAAGGAGGAGAATCTCCGCCTACTCGCCCAGCGGGCTCGCGAAGAGCGCGCCGGTATCGCGCCACGGGCAGCTGCTCCGACAGAGTCAAAGCCAACAGCAGAGCGCACTGCCGCGGTACAATCCGCGCTCGGCGGGTATGGCTCAGAGAGCGAGTCAGATTCCGAGCCGTCTGAGGAAGAAGGGGACGAGGAGGCCGCACGGTTGCGCGACCAGATGCGCGCGGAGAAGAGGCACGAGCGGGAGCGGGAGCTGCGCATGAACAACATGGGTACAGAGCAGCGGGCGAAGATGCTCGCGCGGCAGCAGAACCGCGATATCTCGGAGAAGATTGCCCTCGGGCTCGCGAAGCCGACACTCTCCAAAGAGAGCATGCTCGATTCTCGGCTATTCAACCAGGAATCGCTCTCCGGTAGCTTCGCGGACGACGACGCATACAATCTGTACGATCGTCCCCTGTTCCACGGCTCGAGCGCGGCCGCGGCGATTTATAAGGCCCGCGGGAATATCACGGAGGGCAACGAGGAGTCGTTTGGAGGCGGCACGGAGGAGGGCATTGGCAAGGCGCTGGACAACGACCGCTTTGGCCTTGGTGCGCCTCGTGTTGGCTTCGAGGGTGCGTCTGAGCAGGAGGTCCGGGAGGGTCCTGTGCAGTTCGAGAAGGACTCTGGTGACGTCTTCGGCCTCGACAAGTTCTTGGACGAGGCGAAGAGTGGGCGGAAGCGTGGGCTTGACACCGAAGTGTGAGTGCATGATTCTGTTCTCGTATTGATTGGCATCATACTGATGTCTACCAATAGTGGTGGCTCGAGGAAACGACAGCAACTTGACCGGGCGGAGCAGCGTGAGGATTGAGCATGGATATAGGATGGTCTCGTATGTGGTTGCTTTCTGTGTGTTTGTTACGCTACTACTTGTAATCTATATGCGCATGCCAGGACTTCTCGATATCGGGGGCACTGTACGATGGACCCATCGGTCTGGCTCTTGCGATATCACTGGCTCAGAAACCCATTGCGCTAGTATTGGTACATCCTCAACACTTTTTTGCCGTACTACATAGCACTACATTGATCCACTCAGACCTGGGGAAGAGGGGTTTTAACGCTCACAAACTCTTTCTATGAACATTCGCGAAGCTTCAGCAATCCGTCATCGCAGGAGAGACTGGATGAACTCACTTTCGGGCTCAGCTGGTTGGTGGATGCATTCCTTCGAGCCTTCAGGAAAGCACGAGCAAGTTTCTGCATCAAAATGGAGCGCTGTTAGCGCGGCCACTCCTCGCGACGGGAGAAGTATGCAACCACCCACATCACTTTCCTCCACTGAAAGCTTCTTCTCAGCCTGCCTGAGCTGCTGGTCCTCTGCTTGCGAGTGCTGGAGGAAAATGTCCACGGCACGCTTGATGGCGCTGTCGTACTCCTGGGACCCGGGCTGGGCCCTGTCTGCCTCCAAGATGTACTGCTTGATCTGATCGTGCACCTCTGCAACAAGAAGAGTCAGCGAAGTTGGGGGAGGGAAGAGAGATGATTGCATGCGCACTTCGGTTCATGTCGGCGTCCTTCTTGAGTCCCAGGTTGTACTCGAAGCTATTATACACGGAGATGCTCCTGCAATGATGCTGTCGGTGAGTCTTTTGGTGTGGACGTCGACGGTGACATACTTACTTTGCATCGCCATGCACGAACATCTCGCGCATCAACGTGTTGCCGATGGCGATCTTGTCGGTGGTCTGAGCGGCCTTCCACCTTGCCAGGGTCAGCGACACCTAGGGGTTGCGCGTGAATGCGGTGCTCACCTGATGTAGAGGTCGTGGATGTTGTCTTCATCAGTCTTGAGGATTTCAATGATGTCGAGAGACATGATGCCGAGCGGATGTAATCACTACTTGGGTCGTGAGAGGAACGTAGACCGGGGTCGCTATGTTTAAGAACGCTTCGTTGCGAGCGAGAGCCGGAGGGTTATGTTATGTATGACGCCATAGAGTGGACGTCCCCCAACCGGGAAGAAGCATCGAGATGGCGGCGGAAGCTCAGTGTCGGAGCGAGCGGGGTCAGGCGATCGACAGGTCTGGGGTACGCGTTGTTGACGCGTTGTTTGGCACAGATCTCATCGCGCTTCGGCAGACATCCTGGTGCAACGGCGGGTCGCCCTCCTTCGCTGCTACCACCACCATCTCCCCTCCAGCCCACTTAAAACACGCCCGCTCGCGATGGGCATCCGGTCTCTACTCCTCTCATGGACGCTGGTCGCCCTCCTTGCATCTATCTGCTCGGCGGAGTCCGCCTGGCACGGCCACACTACTCCTGGTTCGACCAGAATCTCGAGGTTCACGCCCTATTATGTTCCGCCCGGAGCCAAAAGCTACGACTCTTCGTCGCCTCTTATACACTACACCGGTACTTGGACCGAGTCGTTTGCCGCCAAGTACATTCAAAAGAGCGCGAAGTTCACCTCGGAGCCAGGCGCTGCTATGTCCTTCACTTTCACCGGCACCGGCATCGAATGGTTCGGCAGCCTCGACAGCAAACACGGCATCGCTCAAGTTTATCTCGACGGCAATCCCGTTGAGCGGGTCGACGCCTACAACAACGCGTCGATGAGCCAACAGCGCGTCTTCTGGACCTTCGGTCTTTCTCAGGGCAAGCACACCCTCAAGATCGTCAACACCGGAGACAAGAGCGGCGCGTCCAGGGACGTGGTCATGGACGTTGATGCACTCGTGGTTACCCAAGGCCCGCCTCCGCCTGAGGCACTGACGCAACAGAACATGGAGGTGTCCTACTCAGACATGCCGTCCTACCCGCCTCTCCTCGACCTGTCCTCCAAGTTCATCCCCGAGGACGAATGGACTCTGGTTCAGAACGGCTCTACTGGTGTCCATGCTATGCAGCTGACTATCATCTCCGAGACTCATGCCCTCATCGTCGACAAAGTGGAGCACAACCCGCTCACTATATCCGGCCATCCGGCTTGGGCTGCACTCTACAACCTCCGGACACACGCTCTCAAGCCTCTCTCGATGCAGTCGAACTCTTTCTGCGCCGGCGGCACATTCTTAAGCAACGGGACCCTAGTCAACGTTGGCGGAAACCCCGTCGTCGAAGACCACACTGCTGCTGCTGACTTCGGCGACGTCGACGGACTCCAGGCGATCCGTATCTTCGAGCCTTGCGACTCTGCCAACGTCGATGACTGTTGGATTTATGAGAACCATAGTCGCATTCGCATGGCCAGTCCGCGCTGGTACAACACCGTCCTCCGCATTTCTGACGGTAGCGCTATGATCATCGGAGGGTCGCTCAAGGGTGGCTGGATCAACAACCAAACGACCAACAATCCTACGCTCGAATACTTTCCCCCGAAGAACATCGCAGGGTCGGACGGCCTGCCCATTCACCTGCCCTTCCTTGTCGACACTCTTTTCTCGAACTTGTTTCCCATTGCGTTCTCGCTTCCCGATGGCAGGGTATTCATGGCCGCGAACCGGGACGCTATGATCTATGACTGGAAGACGAACACCGAAAGGAGGTTGCCTCGCATCCCTAATGGTGTTCGTGTCACCTATCCTATGACTGGAACTGGGCTTCTCTTGCCGTTGTCCCCAGAGAACGACTATACACCGGAGATCCTACTCTGCGGTGGGTCTACCGTCGACGACACAAAGCCCGGCTACGAGATCTCTTCGCAGGATCCGGCGTCGTCCCAGTGCTCGCGAATCGTCCTCACGGATGCTGGTATCGCGATTGGTTGGCAAGTCGAGCAGATGCCACAAGCCCGCACAATGCCTGATGCAGTCCTGCTGCCCACCGGCGAAGTGCTCATCGTCAACGGAGCGGGCTCTGGTATCTCTGGCTATGGCAACGTCGTCGACCAGGTCGGTGCGTCAAATGCAGACAACCCTGTGCTCACCCCTGTCCTCTATGACCCGAATGGCCCCGTCGGGCAGCGTTTCTCCTCGGCCGGTATGCCTACGAGCGACATCCCACGCCTGTACCACTCTGTCGCGACGCTCACGCCTAGTGGCGACATCATGATTGCTGGTAGCAACCCGAACTTGGACCGGAGCGAGGTCAAGTACGGCACCGAGTATCGCGTGGAGTGGCTGGGTCCGTCATACATGAAGAAGGAGCGACCGCAGATCCTTGGTGGTGCCCCCAAAGTGCTCGGGTTTGGACAGACCGCACAGCTCAACATCCGGCTACCGTCGACGTCTCTGCAGGGTGCTAGTGTCAAGGGTGAGTCGCTCGCCTCTGCGGGGTGTGCTACCTTCTGACGGTATCCCAGTCGCGTTGATGGACTTGGGCTACGTGACGCACGCGGTGCACGCAAATTCCCGCCTGGTCTATCTCAAGTGTTCCCTCTCTGATGACAAGTCGACGTTGACAATCACTGCGCCGCCGAACGGGAACATCTACCCTCCAGGCCCTGGCTTCATCTATGTTGTTGTCGACGGAGTTCCAAGCAGCGGGGTGAAGCTACTCATTGGCGACGGGCGGAGTCCTCCTGTAGACCGTGAAGCTCTTGAAAAGTGAGTCCGCCATTCCATCACTCGTGTCTTCTTACTGATAGCCCATTCGCTCAGCCTCCTTGAAAAGACCAGCGTCGACCAGTACGAGAAGTCAAGAGGGGAGGAGAAAGAGGACGATTCTGAGTGAACGCTGTGATGCACGTCTTATACTGTCCGGCTCAATCTTTGTGTCCGATTTCGCGTGTGGTTAGCTTTGTATCCGCAATCTATCTCCTTCATCGCTTTTGCTGTTCCAGTGTCAGTGTCATTCAACCTGCATTCACGACACATTTGAGGGCCCTTTCCACGAGCAAAAACCAAGCCATTAAGGGGAATTTAACCTCTACCACCGACGGGGCTCGAACCCGCAACCCCCACCTTTTCCGCCGGTTCGGTTTGTTAGGAAGGTGATGCGCTACCATTGCGCCACGATGGCTTACCTGTACGTCCAACCTGTAAATGATAACATTGTTCGCTGATGTGAAAATCGATATTACGCGGTCACGAGGGAGAACGCGTCGCTTCGGCGCCAGTGTGAACATGAACTTCGGAGCGCCACCCATTGACTGGCACCAACGGGCTCTTTCCTCATTGTCCACCACCCACTCGGACTGTCCTCCCTCGAGAGCTCCTCATAACGAAACGAACGACCTCTGCGTGATCCAAGATGGCGGCCATCGTCACGCCCACGAACCTCTACGTACTCGAAACCTCCTCCCTCAAGCACCCTCCAACCACTGCCGATCCCACATGTCCCGTCCCTCCTCTACCTTCCAGCATCGCTTGGAGCGCGGAGACTTCGGCAATATTTATTGCATCTGAAACTAGCAGCATCATGCAATACGACCTCACGGCCGGAACCCTCCAAGACACCCCAATCACCGAGCAAGGCTCAGATCCTGCCATCTCTCTGCTCACCAAGGACCGCGGAAACACCGTCGTGTATGCACGAGGGCAGAAGATTCTTCATGCGTCTACTCAAACAGGCAGAATTGCACATACATTCGACACTCACAAAGCCTCGGTTACGTCCCTCTCGCTCTCGAACGACTCCTCCCTCCTTGCGTCCACCTCTGCCCGTGCGATACACGTACATAACCTCACCCTTGTGTCACATACCGTCCTGCGTGGCATCCCTGCTGGTAGTGGAAGCGTCACTACCTGTGCGTTTCATCCGCACTCGCGAACCCGTCTCCTGGTTGGGCATGGTTCGCAGCTTCTTGTGTACGATACCACTCGCCCGTCTGGCCCAGCCAAGACTATTCCTCTGGATAAGGACCAGAAGAACCTTGGTCCCATCGTTGCTATTACCTGCAGTCCATTCAGCAAGACACTCGTTGCGGTTGCTTGCAGCGGAGGAGCCGTTGGCCTAGTTGACCTCGAGAAGGAAAAGGGGTACGTCCCGACATCTTTTCGTCATGACTGCTCACATTGACATCCTCCCAGTTTGTTCCGCATGGTGCAAATGCCTGCGCCCTTGACATGCCTCTCGTTCTCCGCCGAGGGCGCCGCTCTGTATGCCGGCACGGAGAACGGCAAGTTCTTGGTCCTCGACCTCCGTGCACTCGACAAACCACCCAAGTCCGTGACGGTCAGCGAGAACGGCGACCAAGTGATCGCGATATCTGTACAGGTACGTGGAGCTTCCTCCATGTCCATCTGTCCGTCATCCAACGCCTTCGTTCTGCAGAAGAAACTGAAGCCTGGAGAGGCACAAGCAGCCAAGTCGGGTGCGGCCACAGCTGCGAAGCCTCTTGTCCAGCGCGATACGAACAAGGCCGCACCTGCCGCCCGACGTGCTGCCTTAACGGCTGGTACAGATGCGAAGAAGGCTGGGGAAGACAAGCCCGCTACGAAAGCAAAGCCAGCGCTCACCTCGACCACTCCCCGGAGGGCAATGACCAGGACAGCCTCAATCGGGCAGTCCAATGGATCCCCTGTAGGGAGAGTGTTGTCTGGTACGCGAAGGACAGGCCCTCCGGCAGTGAAGTCTCCTGCGGCCGCCCGTAGCGAAGCCCAGAAGAAGGCGTTTTCGCCCCCGAAGGCACCTGTACAAATCGCTGATGACAAGGATAACGAAGACGAGGGCGACTTGTCAGGTGGGTGTCAAACAACTTTCCTTGAAAACCGACCATCTATTCACGTTCTGCATCACAGTACAAGTTGAGAACCTTTTAGCCCTTCCGAAGGCGAAAGAACCTGCTGTTTCAGCAGAGGAACCTCCCGTGTCAGCTGTCTCTAGGGCGCCGTCCGTGCTCTCCCGTGCCTCCTCGCGCGCACAGAGGGTTGAAAACACGAAAGCCCGCACTCACACACGTACTGGTTCGACCGCGTCTCGTGTCTCTGTAGCAGACTCCGTGTCAGCAGCCCTTCCACGTACGCGGCCTGCATCGTCCGCAAGTGCAGCCGGTCGGGCGAGCAAGGCCTCCACACGCACCGTCTCGGGCTCGTCATCCCGTTCAGCGTCGCCCCCGCTTGTTCAGCCGCAGCGCAGGCGTGTCTCCGGTTCTTCTGCGATTTCGCGGCTATCGCGGACCCCCAGCCCTGATCTGCCTGAGATGGAAGACGATGGTGGGCCAATCACGCCGATCCCTGGCTATAAGGTGAAGGGCAAAGGACGGGCTGCGCTCGGCCTTGGGACGCCGGAGGTGGATGAGTGGGTGAAGGCCGGCGAGGGGAAACCCAAAGCCAAGGACGACGATCCTCGCAAGGAGGGCAAACGTGTCGGATTTGCGTCTGGGGACGACAGCGACTCGGACGCGGAGGAGGCTCCCCGCGCCAACGCCAACAACACAAGTGATGAGGACGACTCGGAGTCGGAGCACGACGCGCCTCTGCGCCCGAGCGCGAACCGCTTCCAGCAGGACAACCTCGCGATGCAGGTTTCACCGCGACGCTCGTTTGCGGGTCCCAGCCCGGCGCGTGCGCGCGCGTCGACGTCGTGGGCCCCTGTACCGTCGCCGCTGCGTAACCCTGCTGCGCCGCCTTCCCCGCAGGCGCGGGCAGCACAGGACATGCTGCAAGCGCTGCTGCGGGATGCGCTGCACGACTTCCGGCAGGAGACGAAGCAGGAGATCGTCGGGCTGCATCTGGACCTGATCCGGATGGGCGGGAGCTGGAGGAGGGAGATGAGGGAGGCGATGGGCGAGTTCGCGCAGGAGATGAGGGAGCTGAGGGAGGAGAATCGGATGTTGAGGGAGGAGAACGAGAGGCTGAGGAGGGGATACTGAGGGTGCTGCGTGCGGTGCGTTGCGATCTTGAGTGGTGTTACGAGTCGACGACCTGTGATGCATGCGATGCGATGGACTGGCCCGTAGCCAGTGTGATGATTCTACAATGTGTATGCGATTGACTTACCTCTGCGAATAGTGTTATGCGTATGTATCCTTCTTGCTTCGCTGTGAATGACTGATATCATGGTTCCAAGTGGATGAGGGTCGTACAAGTACAGTTGTGTGCATATACAGGGGTGTAATCTATCTACGAAGTCCGTGTAAAGAGTGTCAAAGTGTACAATGAAGAGCACATAGGGCGAGGTCCAACCAAGAGATGATAGAAGCGCAGTTAGGTAAGTGGTATGTGAGCATTATACAGAGCTTAGTGTAGCCGAATCTGTGAGAGTACTGCGGGGATCCGATGTCAGGAGCACAGGCGATGACCCAACTAGCTGCGGGCGTACCGAAAGGAGTACAGCCGATATCATGAGGATAGGATAGGAGACTCGACATCCCTGAGCTCGCCATCAAAGTCATCGATGACCAGGGCCGTGCTCCCGATACTGTCGGTGAAGATGCCGTAGTAGCCTGTGAGGCCGCGCTCGGCTAGATTCTCGTGCAGACGGGCGTCCTCGCGCAGGTCTTCGCCACCCTCCTCGTCAACGGCGATCTTGACGAGCACGTGTCGTGGGGGAACGTTGGCGGCTGCGGACTCGACGGCCATGAGGGCTCCCCAGACGATGTAAGTCGTCTCGCGCCGTACGGGGTGCGTGATGAGGACGCCAACGTCCGTTTCGAGCGTCATAGTTATGGTCCTGACGGAGGCCATGGTGCTCGAACGCGAGAGAGCGGGTAGCTTCTTCCCTGAAGGCCCTGGGGACGAGAGCCTCAGCTTGCGGAAGCGGCTGAAATTGCGCGAGCGCAGAATGCCCCAGTTGAACGCGAGGTGCAGCTCTCTGGGCTTGATCTGAATGCAGAAGAGGAGCGGTCAGTCAACGACTCGTGTCCGGTCTGAATCGCAATTATGCATATACATACTACGATGTCAGGGGTGGCAAGCTGCCGTGCGATGGTCGGGAGCTCAAAGCCATCCCAGTCCAAGAGGTGAGAATGGGTGGGACGAGGACGGGGCGCGTGGAGGACGAGAGTCATGGCGAGCTCGAACACTCACAGAGAAGGGGAGAGAGAGAGGGTACTAGACTGGGCCCCTGAGAAGTGGGTTGATATAGCTGCAACGGATAGTGCATGGCCAAGCATCAATGCAGTGAAGCATGGCCGCGAGGGGCTGCAGTGGCGGGGAGAACCCTCCGCTGTGTCATAGCCCCTCCGCTCCGGTCAACCGATCCAGTTCGCGCAGCGCCCGGTCGTCACACGGTATACGTAATATCACGTGCGTGTACGTCACAGTCACGAGGCAGTCAACAACTGCCCGGCGCTAGGCCCGAGTCGCGTCTTGGCTCGACTGCAAACGCGACTGTGGCCTTTGCATGCTCCCTACTCTACCTTCGTCCTCGCAGTAATCAGTGTATACCCGATACCTACGTATACCATCAACACATTTGGACAAACGGAACTTCCAAGATACCCGCGCGACAAGCCCCACAAACACGCGAAAATGGCCCTTGGGTCCCCTTCCGCCTCCACCGCTGCGAAACTCGTGTACTGGTCAGGGGTCGACCACGCGAATTCTACCTCAAATGGCTTCCCCTCTACAGATTCAGACCGCGCAACAGAGCATGAAAGGAGGGATCGCGACCATGACGGAAGGTCCATGTATGTCGCCGTTTTCGAAGGTGCGTCCCCCGATCCACGAGCCTGCATCGCCTGTGACTTACGCGCCCAACCGCGTGTAGACATGCTGAAGGAGGTCATCTCGGCGGAAGCAAAGTTGTTCACCGAGCAAGAACTTCAGTGCTTCTTGGCCTGGCACAGGCTTCCCTGTACGTATATTGGGTCAGCGAGTTGTGTCTCGACTTCATGTTGTGGTTGCAGACAGCGCAAAGTACCTCTTCTGTCGTCTCTGCCTGCGCAAGGGCGAAACATGGTACAAAGTCTCAGATCTCAAGTATGAGTCAGAGCTAGGTGCAGAGGGGATTCTCAACGCGATGAATATTCTCTGTGGCCGAGTACCGGCGGAACCAGAGGATATCAAGCCGAAGGTCAATCCTCACGACCGCTGTATCCCCGACGTCCTACTCTCGAAGTTGCCCGAGCCTGCCAA